TCCTATGAATGAAGTTTCAAACTTCTCTTTAAAAGATAGGGATGTATTTCTGTGACAAGACCTTTTTTGTGTACAACCAATTTTGACCTTTTGACATTGACCTTGGAGTTTGACACACTTTTACAAAAAAATTCCACACTTTTACTTTGGCATTAACTTTTGGACGGTATGTGCTATGACTTTATATCGAAGTAATGGCTTGATAGACTAAGAGTTCATTAATTTGCAAAGGTAGTGTCTATAAAATCTCAGAAGAAAGGGGATGTAACAGCAACCATTGGTCAGGTGTCTGCGGGCTAAAAAGTGTTGAAAAGGGAAGTTTTTTATTTATAGATACCTCTGAAGGTTGCACTATTATTCACTCATGATAAGATGTAAATTTTTGCCAGTTTTGGAGGAATTTTTAATATCATTACAAGAACGTTCTCGGTGTGTATTGTATTTCCTGTATATACAGGAATAAGAGGCCCACGGGCCTTATAGGTTACCTGAGTATCCCATAACAACTTTCCAACAATTAAATGAATTTGATTCATATTTTAAACCAGAGGCCATGAAACTCACAATTTTGAAAGAGGCACCATTGCATATCATAACTACACACTTAGAATGTTTACTTTGATTACTTATTACCCAGAGGTAGATCAGAGTAACAAAGAGAAAATGCACGTCCAGACAGGAACCACTGAGCCTGGGGCTATATATTTCAAAATTTTGGAAATTTTATCATGAATTTTATTTCATCATAAATTGTTGATTGATACAAAATTTTTAAAGCATTAATTTATTTTCAGACTACTCGTATGTACACCCCCTCCAAATACCTCGGACGCAGGGGCCCGAAAATTAACCGTTTTGGAAAAGACAGCTTTCTTCATCATAAATATTTACTTAGGTCATTGGCATAATACCCAGGAGCAAAGAAAAAGTTTTTCAAAGAATTCATGCATTTTCATTATGTAAACATTAGTGCCCCACCCTAACACAAAAACCCCTGACCCAAGGGCCCTGAAACTCACAAATCTCAAAGAGGCATCCTTCCTCCTCATAACTACGTACATAATTAATTGGTTTAATACCAAGGCGCAAAAAAGATGATTTTCAAAGAAATAATTCATTTTCACTATATAATCTTTATAGCCCCGTCCTAGCACTAGAAACCCTGACCCTGGGGCCATGAAATTCACAATTTTGGAAGAAGCAGCCTTATTCAACATAAATATGCACTTGGTTGTTTATTTAATGTCCATTAGCAAAGAAGAAGAATTTCAAAGAAATAATGCATTTTAACTATATAATCTATTTAGCCCCACCCAAGCACTAGAACCCCTGACCCTGAGGCCATGAAATTCACAATTTTAGAAGAGGCAGCCATATTCAACTTAACTATGCATTTGGTTAGTTTATTTAATGCCCAGGAGCAGAAAAGAAGATTTTCAAAGAAATAATGCATTTTAACTATATAATCTATTTAGCCCCACCCTAGCACTAGAACCCCTGACCTTGGGGCCATGAATTTCACAATTTTGGTAGAGGACTCAATGCTGATTACAATCATACCAACAGTTTGACTGCTTGATGTCCAGGAGTAAAGAAGAAGATTTTTAAAGATTGCAATATTTTAGTGGTTTTGGCCCAAGACTTTAAAGTCCAGACTTTTTTTATTGACAGCTGCTTTTTCAATAAAAATGGAACTCGTGAAATTACCTACCTAGTAAATGGTCATTCGCAAAATTATTTTGTTAAAAACACTCTGATTGCACACCCAAGTACTCTGAAGTTGACACCTAAAAGATGCTTGAGTTTCGGATTGACAATATCTATGTGTTTTTTTGAGTCCGGGCCTTCCAACAATCTATTGGAATTTCCATGGGTACCAAATGCGCTCCGCTATTAGTAGACCTATTTTTGTATTCATATGAAGCAGAATTTGTGCAAAATCTTATGTTTCGGAGGTCCGTGTTTGCTCTGCTCTTATTTTGTATTGTTTTTTGGACTTTGATATTAAATACTGTTCGTTATCTCCATATCCTTCTTCCATACAGATGTATATGTAAGTTTAAAGGTAAGAGCTAAGGGAATTGAATTTATACAGTTAAATAACGTTGCTTTTTTTGCTTCTATGCTATGTTTTTGGATTTGTAAATTTTTTATAAGTTTATAGTTATCAGAAACGTATCATGCCATTTTCGAAACAAAACCTTTAAATGATAAAAAAACACCCAATACTATAAGCATAAATTTATGCTCCTCAATGAATATATTCCGTTGAATTTTGCAGGCCAAGAATAAATACATATATATAGCCTATATAATACTTGATACATTAATTGTGATGATACTATTAAGATCGACATACAATCAAATATATGTTGGAAAGGATTAAAGTACATTAAAAATTCCCCCTTTTTGCATTTGAAAGTATGAAAAAATATCAGGAGACACACATATAAGGTTTTATTGTATAAAAAAAGTAGGGGGTCAAATTTCTATGGGGGTCATTTTTCAACGTGTGTGGAGTCGTGGAATTACTGGTCTGGAATGTTTTTCTACTGTCGAAAAATGACCCTACTTGTGGTGGAATATTGACCCGGGATCATTTTTCTACGTAGAAAAATGACCCCCTGGTCAATATTCTACGGGGGTCACTTTTCGTCGTTACAGTGGCCGTATTGTTTGACAAATTACATTTACCTTTAATAAAGTTACTTGTAAAAGAGAACGTATTATAATACTACCATAACAGTCATGATATACCACCGTAACACATTAAAACACTGTTAAGACCAGACATCAAAGTATGGATGTGATGTTGCGTTCTATTATCTTTCTCTGCCTATGAACACTAAGGTACATGTATTAAAGTATAATTGAATGGCTGATAACATACTTTAAGATTTGAAAATTTCTGTTATATTGTATTGTTTAAAGATGTCCAAATTTTTATATGGCTGATATTTGTAGTAATCCTAGCTGCTAACACGAAAAAAGACCCATAGACAAACTAAACTGTTTAACAGTCAGATTTTAGAATGACACCAACTTTTATTTACAGTTTTTGTCATTTGTATGCAAAATTAATTATTGACATATTTTGTTCTTATGTACCGGTAATCATTCAAAAGAATTGTCGAGATGATATTTGTGCCTTTAATTTAAGCCATTATTGACCTGTGTCCGAAAGAGAGAAAACAATAGTGGATTATCAGTGTTGCAAAGCAACAAATTTAGTTTTATCATTTGCAATCATCGTCATGCTGAGTAAATTCAATTATTGTATCATCAATAATTTGCAAGGTTGTTTGACAAATAAATGTACGCATGAAAATCCCCATTGCGGTCTGACATTAGCTAAATTCATGGACCATAAAATAAGAAAAAAATAAAACATATTTTTTGTTTTCAATGTTTTTCTTGTATATTTTCTCATGAATCAATAAAGCTATCATCTTTGCCCCCCCCCCCAAGGGTGTCAGATGCGCTGATCTCCTTACAAATCCCCCACCCTAAAATACAAGTTTTCTGCAGAAAGCGGGTTCAGAACAAACCTAGCGGGTCAGAAACCCTTGGCTGGCAAAGATGTATCTCTATATACACTGTCTTGTCTGTGGTTTGTTTTTTTCTGTTAGTATAGCAATGTTTCAATAAATCCTGAGGTAAAGCAAAGTTTCAATTAATGTTTATTATGTGTTTACCTACATTATCTACTTTAACATGATCACCAACTTTTAGCTTCACGATCACAGTTCTGCTTGTCTGCCCCCAACTGTTCTTTTCATAAACTGGTCTACATATTCTGGCCACAATTTGCTTGTTAACTTTTATGGCAAGCCAGGTCTAAACATTAATGAGAGTATCAACAACAAACATGAATGTTCCAGCCACTGGACACACTAATGTTCTATTATTATATCCGTTCGTCTGTCCTTTTTCCAAGTGTAATAATTGAGGCTTCAACATTAACAGATAAACTGGTACGCCCTCGTTAGTTTTGTTTTTGAGGAACCAGTTTGAGAAAAATCTTATCTTTGGTATTCATAATTTATTCAAATGAATTTTATTATTATGTACTTTTATAAATAATAATAGAATTAATAGTTAATGTACTTTTATAAATTAACTATTAATTTTATGTTCTTTTATATACTTTAGGACGTATAAAGATAGGAAAACTGTGATAGTCATGTCCATATTTTTTTTTACTATTTTGTATATATCTTTATTTTATGTAACTTGTTATTTTCATTCAACGTTTTACTCTTTTTTCTGAATGATTTAATTGTGTCAAGATTAAGTAACCTTAACTTTCTCTATGAACGAAGCGTTGTTTGTAAATTTTTCGAGACAAATGCAGGAAACTGCATGCTATCATACTTTTGGCCTAAGCATAATTTTAAAATAATGTTTAGTTTGCCTTATTGCAAGCCTTATTGGCTTAGTATGTAGGTGGCACCCCCCCCCCCCCCCGAAAACCCTAGCATACACAATGACAATATGAGAAAACCCAGAAATAAAAAGGGGAAAAGTCGGTCGGGAAAGAGGAAATAACCATTTTTTAAAGGTACACTAATTTTAATTTTCTTACCAAAACTCTTACTTAATATTTTTGATTTAAAAATATACCTGATGTTCATGTAAATTTGATGTTACCCAAAATATAAGATGAATACATTATATTTCGAACTTCAATGTATTAACTCATCCATATATTTAAAATAATGACAATTTTTTTAAAGTCATTTTTATCATATCAACCCTTTTTATAATGATAAGCGTCATTAAAAAGACAAAGTAACCCAGGTCTTTCTCTAATATATTAATTTACTAGTATTACATAAAATTGAACTTTACCTTATGATAAATTATCATATTTACATGTAGATATAATCAATGCATTCCGACTTTACTCATTTAACATTGTTTATCGTCTTTCAATTTCTTTGCTTCTGCATTACTAGTATTGTGCCTGAACAAGCTCTTCTTTTTAATTTGCTGGTCTGTTAGTAAAGTAGTGTTCCCGTGAATCCCGAGGTTCCACTTTTATATATTTGAACCGTACTATACTCGTTTTCCACTTTGACATGATCACCAAGCCTTAGTTTCACTATCACAGTTCTGCTTGACTGACCCCAAATGTTTTTATAATGTGGTCTATGCATTTTTGCAACAGTTTGCTTATTTACTTTTATACCAAACCAGGTGTCCACATTGGAGAGAGTATCAACGACAAACATATAAGTTCCGGCCACTGGACACACGAATACTCCTGTTCTATCATCATATCCATTACCATCGTTTGTCAGGATCCCATCATATTTAATGGTCTGTCCTTGACCAACAGTAAGAATTTTGTTCCCAATATAAACAGAGAAACTAATTCCTTTGGTTGGTTTGGGCAAAGCAGCAAATGTATTTCCTACAACATGAAATAATATTCAACATATATGTATAAACAATACTTGAATTATGTTTAAGAATTCAGATCTTTCTTACCGGGATCCAACATAAAATAATACAACCTTAATTCACCCACATGAGACTTTCCATGTGATTATAAGACTCTGTTTAATCTCAGCATGAGATTAAAAAGAGATTGTGAAATTTAGTTTATGTATGGATTGCTGAAATAGTTTGTGTCACTTAATCATTGAATCATATAATAAAACGATTATTGGTGGTGGTGGTGGTGGGTGGGGGGGGGGGGGGGTCTGATCAGTAAGATGATTTAGGCACAGTCGAAGTACAATATTCACCGAGCCCGAAGAGCTCCGCAGGTGTCTAAATCATCATATAAACCTAGACATCAGTAATACTTGTGTATAAAATACCTATGTAAATAATCAACAAGAAAAAAAATAATTTAATTATGGTCTATGATTTGAAAGTCTTTTCTTGTTTATAACCAAGGATATGATGCTCTTTACGTCTTTCTCTCCTCTCATCCATTCATTATTATAATATGCTCAATTTATATAAATTAAAAAAAGGGTTTTCCAGAAAATTTCATGGAACTTCCATTATATTTCTGAGATAAAGTGTTTGTCATTTTTTTTGTTTGTTCCCATACAAAAGAGAGCAGATGCAATCTAACAGGATCATGAAATATCTTAAGGAGGCACAAATTAACCACCATATACAACTTAATTTTTAGATATGATATCCTAAGCTGTCAACTATCATTTGGAAAAAAACATTTTCATACATTTAAGTTTTAAAATTTGATCATTATTGTATATCTCTATATAGGACTTTTTTTCTAAAGTAAACCAAAATAGTCTGAAAATGGCCACAACCACCACCCCTTTTAGTTTAGGTTGAAATCACTATGTTATGATCAAATTTTGTAAAAATTAAACGGTCAAAATCAAAAATATTTGTCAATATTACATATCACCAAAAGGCCTGTGAAATGCTAATTTTGAAATGAAGTTAACAAGTAATCAACACTTTAAAGAAAATTGAAATTTTGACTTAAGTCTATGTTTGTTTCATGATCCTGGGGCACATCTTAACCTTATGTCAAACATTTTATATCATACATTTAATGTTGTGGAAGTCAAGCAAATCAAAATTAAACTAGGTTTTGATATTGATTCACAGTAGCATTGTTATTTGTGAGTTTTGAGATTAATTATATAATTAATAAATATTTTACAGGTGATTAAAAATTTGACTTAATTCTAAGTTTTTCATGATCCTGGGAATAACATTCAGTATTTGAGTAAAAACCCAGACTGACAGTCACTGTAGTTTGATTTTTACCATAAGTTTTTTTCGAGGATTCCAAACCAGATATCTTCATATAACATAATATATGAACGCATATTAATTAAAGCTAGTGTTCAGTAACATTGACTTTTTTGGATTCTTGGTCTCGGTATTTCTAAACATATTTTTAGTTTCTTTTACTTGTTTAAATACATGTAAAAGCTAAAAGAATTGCCACATTGGATTTTTGAAAATCTACCTGATGTTGAGAGTTTGACGAGTTCCCTCAGAGCTGTAGAGTCCAGAGTAACAGTAGCCTTAGCATTACTGTAGATCAAGGACTTTATGGAGTCAAGCTTTGTCCGTGTGTCTGACTGTGTACCTCCTGACACAGGGGAATAATTATTTACAAAATATATTATCAACATCAATAATTGAAGGTATGCCATCGTGTTTCGTCTTTTAAACAATTCGCAAAAGAAGAAAAAAACAATGTAAGGTACCAAACATGGAGGAATATTTATAAATAAAGGATCCATCTGTTACAAGAAGGACGCACGCAATAATTTCATCAAAGTATCAAATTACTCAAAAACCTGATTTGGGGCTAATTTTTTATCATTGTATAAAAAGGAACTTCTGTACATTTACTTTATCTTTAAGAATCGATCAATGGCTGACTGATATCTCTGTCTCTATACCCTTAATTTAGAATAACCAATAAGCTATCTGTATAATGGGTATTAACAATACATCAGCACCCTAGACAATTTCATGGACATTCCCTCTTCTCTGAAACTCACACTATAAGAGACGAATAGTTGTCATTGCATGAAAATACTTCTTTTTGTGTAAAGTTATATGAAAGGTCTGAAGAGAATAAAAAAAACTAACCTGATAATATTAAAATAACATATAAAGTTGCCTTAAACAAAAATATTGTTTGGTGTTTTTACCACGTGCTGTGTATAGTAAGTCTCTCTATTATTCTATTTTATATTATATTATTCCTTCTTATACCCATCAAGACTTTAACTTAATTATTAACTACAGTTCTGATCAGATTGGATTTTTTAGACAATAATTTCATATAAAATACATTATAGCTGGGTTTTGTTGGATTGTTTAGCAATTTTCCTTTTCCCCTAATCTATACAGAATCATTGTCATAATGTAGAGAATTGAAAGCAAAATCTTTAAAATCACAGCATAATTAAAAGCTGTCAAAGTTTTCTAATAACCTACCCGGTATTTTTTCCTCCAATAGTTATATATCTTTTTTCAAACTGCGACCGATTTTTAATGAAATTGCAATTAATAATATTTTTTTCCTTTTTTTGTTTGTATACAGTAGTCATCTTGAATGTGCTTTCCAAGTTTTAAGTGATGTGAAATCAAATGAACAAAGTATCATTATTTGGCAGGAATGGTTGGTGTGATGGGGCGTAAATGTGTTTCCTTGGGTTATTGACATTACTGAACAAGCTTCTCTCTTCTTAGGGCAATCTGATTATACATTTTTGTTGGTTTAATGGTACATATCTAAATCCCTAACAAAATTCATTTTAGGGGTAGTTTTAGTTATTCCTACCTTATGTATAGAACACAATTGATAATTGAAAGTTCCTTAAATCTGTTGCGTACATGAAATAACTTTTGTATTAGCATTTTGCATTTTTCTAGGCAGTTGTGGTCTAAAATTTATAGTCCATGTTCATGATCTTTCAATTTTTTATCCACTCCCCAAATCAGTGTTGGAAAAAATAAAATAAGTATCACCCTACTCATCTGACTCGATCGATTTACCAACTTGACTTTGAATGTTTATTTTTAATGTGTATGGTTTCTTAACATACATGTACATATAGATTTTAAAAAAGCAACTCTAGCATTAAAATTACAGTTTGGTGCCTTTTTTATAAAGATACTTAAAATATATTGCTTTTTATGATTAATTAGCACTAATTTTATTGAAATCCGTCATCAATTCAGTGTATAAAATACCGGTATACCCTTCCGCTTTTCAACCGGGGGTATAATAATGTACTAACAATAAGTATGAAAAACGTCAGTCAGCATTTGACTCAATGATAAATTGTATTTGCTGACAAGGTCATTGTATCGACCAAAGAACTTACGAAATGATGAGTTTAAAAGAGACTGCTGATATTCTTCTTTCATCAACTTGTTTGTCAATACTTTACCTCATCCTAAAAATTGTTCATACGTAGAGCATGCTCTTGCGTATCGTATCAGCTGAGATAAATAAACTCCGTATGCAGGTGATGAAGGTTTATTTCTGCATAAGTAAGGGAAGTTAGAGGTTGGTTGTTAGATTACCATTAACGCCTTTTTCAAGTGACAGATGTGTCAGGCTCTGTGGTGTCTTTTATCTCAAGCTCATCAGGACATATCGTATCGACATAGGATTAAAAATTACCATCGTTAATTCACAATACGTCGTCGATATATCTAAATGTCGAGTTGAAGGCCACAGCAAGTGTTTTCTTCTTTTTACGCATAAGATTTTGCAATAAAGGTCTGCTAATAACGGAGCGCAATTGGTATCCATGGGAATTGCAATAGATTATTGGAAGACCTGATCTCCAAAAACCATATAAATACTGTTAATCAGAAACTCAAGCATCTTTTATGTCAATTTCAGAGTATTTGTGTGTGCAGTCAGAATGTGTTTTATCAAAATAATTTTGCAAATGACCAATGACCAGAAAAGTAAATTTACGAGTTTTTATTGAAAAAGCAGCTGTCAATGATATCAAAAAGCCTGGACTTTAATTTATCGTGGGGAATGGTTGTGTATAAATTTGAAAAGTCGTAAGTTTTAAGCTGTTGATTGTGGTAAAATCCTGTGATTTTAAATTGTCCAAAAGTTCTTTGGAATTTTTTAGTATCCACATCTGATTCACACAACTTCTTGAATATATTGTTGCACAGTATTCTTGAAGTTTTTCCTTGACTACTGTCAATATCATAATGAGGAGTAAAGAAAGAGGCTTGGTTGAACATTTACTGAAACCAGTAATGTATCTTTGTTAAGGTCTTCCGTTTCCAACGGAAGACCTTCTACTGATTCTGTTGGTAAAGATTATTATTCTTTTTTTTTTCTTCTACTTCCTAGACGCCAACTTTGAAGCCTCATGTCTCACTCATTTCTCAATTGATTTCTCTCAAATTTTCAGAAGTTACTAAACTCTTTCAGAATGCTGTCTAAAATCTCAAAAAGTCACTTCCGGTTTTGAGTTATTTCCCTTTAAATGAAAATTTATAAGCTTTCGTTTCCAGATAAAGGCTCAGAGACGGCTAAAGCTGGAGCAGAAATTCTACTGATTTTAGATTATAGAAGGATTGAAGTTGTGCACATTGGTTTTTGTTTTTCGATTTCCCCATTCAAAATGGCGCTATATAGGGGTCAAAAATAAGAACGCTTAAAAGAACCAAAAATTACTCATATTTTGCTTTTCATCTTCTAAACTAAAAATATTTTCTTAAAATATATAGAACATAATTTGTGCAGAATTAGAAGATCTTTCAAATGATATCTTGGAAAAAGGGCTGACCCCTAAATTAAGGGATCTAGAGGGGCCACATTTTTTTCCAGATATCTCAAAAAGTATTGAGAATTTGTTATACATCAAAGAAGCAAAGTTGTTGAAAATCTCTTGTAAAATCTACTGATGTCATAAAAGTACGTCCTGTAAGGTCACTTCCGACCGAACCGGAAGTAGACCGAAACTGCATATTTTTGCCTTTTTTGACATGTTTTGGGGAAATATTTGTCACTGGAAGCATGAAACTTAATTTTCCGTTCGTCGACGTCACTTCCGGTCAAACAGGAAGTAGCAAAAATGGCTTACTTTTGCAATTTTCAACATAGATTTGGAAAATTTAAATCATTAGAGACGTCATTTCTCTTTTTTTTTTTTTTTTTTTAAAAAGATAAAAGTTACTTCCGGTCAAACAGGACGGAAGACCTACTTGTTGCTTTGCAACGAGCTTTGCTCTAGTTTGTAATGATTTTTATGAAGTTTCGGAATCCAATATATATATATGGTAATTCAAATTCATTTTGGTTCTTCGGGATATTAAAATTATTATTAAAAAAAACTGACATATGATTTTGAAGAATTTCTTCCCCAGAAAGGGAACTATTAGTATAAGTTGGATTAATAGTATCACTTGTAGAATTAAATCGAATTTCTTCGAAACTAAAATTTATATAATGAGGCATACAAACAAAGACAATGTTACCTGCTTTCTCAGCAGGTACCAGTACGTATTGATCATGAAATCTAGTATCTTATTCTTTTTTCACATCTGGATTATTGAATACAGAAGGATATATGGTTTTCATATTGCCCCTAAATCTTTTAATACGCGATTTTAACATGGATCTGATATATGTACATTCTATCCATTCTGACAAAGTGTCAACACTTTATATCAGAAAGCCAGTGAATTTTGACTTTGCTGATGAACAAGTACATCGCAAAAATAACATGTTTTCTTTATTATTGAATTTTATTACATACTGTATATATGTCCTTTTCTTTAAAATCATTATGACTGCACAAACTCTTTTATTTTATTTGCTTTTTCTGTTAGTAAAGTAGTGTTCCAGTAAATCCAGAGTGCCCACTATTATAAATTTGAACATTTACACAATGACAGTAATTATCAACTTTGACATGGTCACCACGCTTTAGAATAACTTTCATAGTTCTGCTTGTTTGGCCCCAGTCATTTCCTTTGTGAGCTGCCCTAAACACTCTTCCTACTGTTTGCTTGTTTACTTTTATAGCAAGCCCAGTCTCGGCATCGGTGAGCCTATCAACAACGAACATGTAAGTTCCCGCCACTGGACACACAAATACTCCTGTTCTATCATCATATCCATTACCATCGTTTGTCAAAATCCCATCATATTTAACGGTCTGACCTTTTCCAAATGTAAGAATTTTGTTCCCAATATAGACAGAGAAACTAACTCTCTTTTTGTGATTCAAGGAATCTGCATATACTTTGTCTGCAATTTGAAACAATGTTCATCATATATCTACATCAATACAAAAATAATCAGAATGCAAAATAATTAATTTTTTTATATTCAGGTTATCATAAACCAAAGAAGGTACAAAAGCCTTATTTTTTAGTTTGGTTCATTCATTCTAACTATCTTCATTTGACTTTATGTCAGAATGTAACCTTTACCCAGAGATCAGTGACATTGAACTCCTTTGTTGTTCTTGGTTTTTTTTTCGTATTTTGAATATTATTTATCTCTCATTTACGAGGGGTGATCAAAAAGTTCGCGAACTAATTAAATAACTTCCATAAAAGAAACACTATTTGGTTTCAATGTTAATTATATTTTAAATTGATCCTCTCCAATTTTAATGCACATCAATCACCGTTCTGCACATGCGTGAAT